GAAGGTCAATACCTTGTTTCACAGGTCCCAAGACTTAGTTCTTCCTAATTTCTGTCCGAATCCTTCACATAGTCTTGAACGGCAGTGGCATAAATTGGATGTGCGCAGGGCTCTGCGTCATTATGTCAAGCTAACCTCAGCCTTTCGAAAGTCGGAGGCCTTGTTCGTGTCTTTTCAACCTTCTGCCATGGGTCAGAAGGTTTCATCTTCAACCATTGGTAGGTGGATTAGGGCATGCATTGCTCGGGCATATCTTTCTCAGTCACTTCCAGTTCCTGTACACATCACGGCTCACTCGACGTGTAGTGCATCTGCGTCTGGGTCTACACAAGCTTCGGTTGAGGAGATTTGCAGGGCAGCGACGTGGTCCTCCGCTTCCTCATTTGTCAGGCATTATAGGATAGATAGGTATGCTGCGGCGGACGCCACGTTTGGCAGACGGGTTCTACAACAGGTTGTTTCTTCTCAGGGGACACAAGCCTAGACTCCCCCCCCCGTAGGGACATGAGCGGCTTTGGTATGTCCCATCCAGTGGATTCTACACTCATCATGCTGGAGAAGGGGCGTTGTCTTACCTGAACGCCTTTTCTCAGCATGATGATGTAGAATCCACACCCTCCCATTAGGGCAGTCTAGGCAGGTGTCACGATGATTGGAGCCATTGTGCCAGACTTCGTCAGGGATGCTTCGCCTCGTCAAAATTGGGAAGACACACCCAGAGGGAGGCATGGCCAAAGTTCTGACCTAGTCTCTTCTGAGCAGGAAGGCTGAAATAACCCATCCAGTGGATTTTACATCATCATGCTGAGAAAAGGCGTTCAGGTAAGACAACGCCCCTTTTCTTTTCCAGCTATCAGGTGTAGTTCGTTGGGCTTACATGCCAGATAAAAGGACCCAAGCTTTCTAGGACAACAATTCTGGTGCCTGAACAGGGACAAAACTTGAGTGCCTTGTCTGGTTCTACTGAGTTGATCCTGAAATGTCACCCAATAACAAACACTAGTAGACATAAAGTAAAATGATTGAAAAGTGTATGTTTTTCAATTAAATTCATGGCTGGATCCCAGGGCTGTCTATTGACCCAACACCTCAGGGTCTACCCAGATCCTGCAAATCTATCTATACTGTGATTGGAATGTTTCTGCGGGGGGGGGGGAAATGAGGCTAGTAGATCCGTGTACCCCTCTAATACTTTGAGTAGAAGGCTGCATGCCTATGAGCCATCGCTGAATAAGATTGAGTTGGATTTTTGGGCTAGCGCAATGGTGGCATCAGAGACTCAAAGGAGTGATATCTAAGGAGTGTTGAAGGAGGGCCAAAGATGCTGGGGAAGATTTGCATTCTCAATCTTTATCAGTGAATACCTCGTCTATAACACATACAAAGTCCATTCCTATTATCTGATCATTTGGAGCAGGCCTGACAAGGCTTCAGCATCTGAGCATCAAGACCAGGACATGTTGACCTGTATGGTACAGCTGGCTTTTTCACATCATCTGACTCTCTGCTAATGCCAAGACTAGTATTTGTCCACCTGTGAAGCATTATTGAGCTTTCTTGGATAAAATAGGAAGCAGGTCATGGCATTGAATGGTAAGTGGGCAATGTACAGAGCAGGATCTTAGAATGTAGCCCTCTTGGTTGCATCATAAAACATTGGAAAAGGTTTGCTAGGGATTAACTAAGACCAAATTGGAGCTTTCTTTACTCATGTCATTCTTTGGAAGATGGCTATGAAATGGGTTTTGGGGATATAATAACATTGTATAGTAGCCTTTATTACATAGTCTTTGAATATATAGTAGCCTTTGTTACACATACATGGTCTGTGAATTTTTTTCTCTTTGGTTCAGTGTTTGACTCTGTGCCATTCTTGCAAGAGGGAGGGACAATTTCCTGTGATGCTAATGTTTGCTGAAACTATTTTGCAATTGCAGTTATTGTTATGGTGATAATTTTTCTTTGCTGACAAATGAGCAAATGGAATAACTGTGTATTGAGATGTTCTGGAGGTTTTTTTGGAGGGGAAGGAAGAGAGATGATGTAAAATATAATTTCACTGTGCCCACAACTCCTTCAAAAGCAGAAGAGGATTTACTTAAAGAAACCCCTGGAAGACATGTAATGGGTTCAGCTCCACTTTATTTAGTTAAGAAGCAGCTTGTGAATTCACCAATGTTAGGTATTTAGAAAAGGGAGAAGGGGGAAACGACTGATTAATAAAGCCTTCTCACTTTCCCACTTTTGGCAATGGCTATGTGAGCCAAGAGAGTATTTTGGCATGCTGCCTTTAAAGTGGGTTCCCCTCCCAGGATAGAGATCTTAGCTGAGTCTTTTTAACCATTCTATATTTGTAAAAATTACCAGCTCAATTGAGTTTACTGTCATAGTTTTGATAATTATTTACATCTCCCAAAGAAAAGAAAATGTTACGCAAAATGCAAGGAGAGGAGATTAAAGAATGATTAAGCTGCTGTCTGTGGGACTAAGCTCTGATGTTAAAGGCTGAGTCTAGAAGAAGGAAAAGTTTTAAAGGAGAAGGTCAGCCAAAAGGGTTTTGAAGGGGAAAGGGGGGAGAGAGCAGAAACCCTGTTGATGGCAATGGCTGCAAGTGATGCTGCAGGCCTACTGGTAGAAGCCAGGGGAGGATGACTACTGCCTTAGGGATCAAAGATGGCTGGATGACTTTGAGCCAGTCTCTCTCTCTCTCTCTCTCTCTCTCTCTCTCTCTCTCTCTCTCTCTCTCTCTCTCAGCACAACCCACTCACAAGGTTGTTGTTGTGAGCAAAGAGGAGGAAGGAGTATTACGTATGTTAGCAGCCTTGATTTAATTATGCTTATTACTTGTTATTTATTATACTTATTATTTAATGTTTGTAAGAAACCCAGAGCTGCCTCTAGATGAGATGGCAGCACACAAATCGAATAAGTAAATAATAAAGTAATAATGGTAGGATAAAAACAAAAAAGAAATATATAAAAAGAAAAGAAGAGAGAAAGGGGGACACAAAACAATTCCTGTTTCCCCCCTGCTCAAAATGGAAACATAGGAGAAAGACATGAAAAAATTTGGTAGTGCTTTAAATGTGAAAATGCTACTTATTAGAGCAACAGAAAAATGCTAATTAAACCTTTTTCTTTCAGCAATGGATTATGTGGTGTTCCCTCCACCCTGAGAAAAAGGTTGCGAAAATTAACCCTCAGCTCAGAGATTGGAACCTCCATATTTTGCTTTGAATATTTATACTGATTTTTAGCATGCTCTTAGACTTTTGTATGTACATGGAATCTTATGAAAGGAACAGGGACTTTTCATACAATTGGAACAAAAATCCAATATATCCTAACCATACTTATTTTGTTGGAAGTTCTTTTTTTTCCATAGAGGTGGCTGTTGTAGACTACAAAGCCTGTCAAAATGTAAAAATGCTATTTTTGAAGAAATCAAAGAACAGATAAAACAGGAACATGGACAGTTCTTATGTGTTTAGGAGAGGCCACCTACAAGCAGCTATGTTGATTCCATACATTGAACACCTCTTTCTCCCTGAAGTACATTTTGATGTTCAAGGGCAAGATGCAAGTTAGCTTGGATAACATTTAAAATAAAAATTACTTAATCCTGATAGATCCATTCATTAGCATCAATGTTAAAATTAAGCCAGTTGCCTGGCGAGATACAGCAAGGACACTCTGGGTCAGATAATAGCCCAGGATATTTTTTTTAATCTTTTCAAGGTAATTTGCTTCGCCCACAACTTGGGCAAAGAGCAAAAGTGGGTGGGGGGAGGGGGCAGTTGGAACCTTATATTTTATTCTAGAATAGGCAGTCCAATGGCCACACAGTGCAAGATCCTTTAACTTTTAGACATTAAATTGGTTATTAGAAGTTTATTGAATTTTATTTATCCATGATCATGGCACAAGATCAAAAATAAATAGAGAAAAAATTGGGGCAATATTTAATAGAACCTCCATGGACTGATACGATCTAACTGAATTTTTTTAAACAATGTCTGACTGTACAATCAATCTAAATACTGAATTAACTCTTGTACCAATTTTTTTTTCTTTCCCAGCTTTATAAATTTTAATTTTAGGAAACAGTATTAAATTTTTGTTAATTGTACAATGTTGTTTTTATTTAAACAGGAAAAATGAGTTCAGTATTTGCACAAGCTCTACTTTTGTTAAATGGAAAACTTATATATAACAGAAAAGTTATATATAAAAGTTATCACCATTAAATACTGAACGAATAGTAATTTGAGGATCATTACATTTTTAGGAGAGATAGTTGGTAGACTAAGTAATCACATCAGAAGATCTTTGCCCTCCCATTGTAAATGATATTAATATCCACTGAAGCCCCTACTTTGGTTTTAATTAGTGCCTACTCGGGGAACTCAAAAGGCAATTGGACTAGATCTCCATACCTCTAGATCAGTGGTTCTCAACCTTTTTAATGCCGCGACCCCAACCGGTCGTAAGTCGAGGACTAAACCGGTCGTAAGTCGAGGACTAAACCGGTCGTAAGTTGAGGACTAAACCAGTCGTAAGTCAAGGACTACCCAACCGGTCATAAGTCAAGGACTTTCCCTGCCCGGGAGCACCGCGCATGCGTGGTTCCACCCCCTGCGCCGGCCGAGGCGTAGCTGGCAAGCAGCAGAGACGGAGCAGGCCGACCACCAGCTGGCCCAGCCCAAGGGAGGTAAGGCACCCGCTGGAAAAGGGGAAAAAAAATGGCGGACAAAAAAATGGCAGACAAAAAAAATGGCAGACAGCCTTGCTTGGCGACCCCCATGTAATGGTCGATTGACCCCAAATGGGGTCCCGACCCACAGGTTGAGAACCACTGCTCTAGATGATGCCCAAATTGCTTCCAGGTGTAGTTTGGCGATAAAGGGAATCCAGGTGTTTAACATGAAATAGATCCAAATTTCATACTGTCCATTACAATGAGACAGCAGTTCGTCCATTGAGAAAAAAGGTCAACTTACCCAGCTAATTCTGGAAACAGCTTTGATTTCCCAGGTAAAAGAGAGAGATTGGCTGAAAAATAATACTTTAAAAGGTCAGGATGGATTTACATTTGCAAAAAATAAAATAAAATAGTAAGCTGGTAAGAATAAATGTGTTAATTGTAAATCTGCTATTAACATTGACAATTTTATTTATTTTTTTAAGTTGGATATTTTTTGAGCCTGTCATATATGTTGAGCTGCACTAATTTTTGTAGATTATTACAGCCACGACTTCTATTGTGAAGTCCTTGAACACAATCGCTGATGTCCTAGCAACAGTAAAATGGGTCCTTGATATACTTACAGCTGCTCAAGAAAGATATATGCCATCTAGCTTTCAGTATGTTATTCTGCATAGAGCAATAAGCAGTATACATAATGAGGATCTTTTTTTAATTCTGGGATACCAAATTTTAGATTGCTAAAAACTTTATTTGGTATTGTATTGTTCTTAGTCATTGGACTCATGACATGTTGTTGTACTCAATTCCTTCCCTTCCTGATGTCCCTGTGGCCAAAGTTTTGCCAACCTTTTTAAAAGAAATCATAAGATAATGTTGGTTGATTAACAATCCTCTATTGAGACTTTCTGTCTTTCCATAATCAGGCTGATGGTCTATTCAGCAGTCTAAATTTTAATAGTCTCCATAAATTTCTGTGACTTATGTGACCCTGCACATTTTGACACTGAGTAAAAATGGGGCATGATAAGAAAGCCCAATTTTTTAAAGCTTAATCTAATTGTATTTATGTATTGATAAACTATTTCTTATTCATGTATTAAAATACTGTTTATTATTTAATACATTTTGCCGTGGACTTGAACGGCTTTGTTGAGCAGAAATGAGACCAGACCATCTGTCTCCTACTAGGAATGCCTAACCATTACGGTGATGGGCAAGACCTTGGTACTAAGTTGCTTAGAAATGTTTTTAGAAAGGAGGAAGGCTACTGATAAGATAAAGGTCATAGCTACTTTGTAATTTTTAGCTTGTAACCTTTAGCTAAACTGTTAGTATAGTCCTGAACATGTATGCTTGATGTTGTTTTTAATTATTGGTTTATAATGATGTGTTTCCATGATTGGTTCATGGCAATATATACTTTTCAAAACTATATAAGAAGGTGTCCGCTCTAAGTTGGGGTGCACTCATTTGGAATTTGCTTCCAGATAGCTCTCTTTTAATTGCAAATAAAAGTTTTCTTTTCCTTTTCAGCTATCTGGTATGGTTCACTGGGCTTGCATGCCAGATAAAAGGACCCAAACTTTCTGGGACAACAATGCCAGGAACAGCTGGTCTCCTTGCATTGTCTCCTTTCTTGCAACTGATTAGTTTACAAACTTTCCCCAACACTAAATATCACATCACACAAACAAAACACATGCAGAAGCCTTTCTCAAAACAAGCATTACTTTATTTCAGTTCAACAGCAACGTTTTTACCCATTGCTTTCCCACTTATTCCACTGATAAAAAAAGGATATGAGTATCCTTGGTCAGTCAGAACACACACTTCTTCCAGGCCCCATCAAGAGGCAAAAACTGTCTCCAGTTCTCCATTTGCAAACAAAAGGAAAAAAACAAAACCTGACAAACATTCCAATGAGCAAAGGAGAGACCTCTACAAACTTTTACACACACACACACACACTAGTACAGCTCAGTTGGAATAGAAGAATCACAATGAAACTAAACCACGGGAAATACAAACACAGAGACATGAAAATAACTTTTTACATACACCCATGAACCAACCTGCACAATGAATCAACCTTCCTGCCCGTTACCTTTCCAGGGTGATAGAAGGGGAAAAAACATTCAAAGCGGTAAAACACATACATGCCATTGCCAATCTGCAAAAGTACCCCACGTAAATTGCTGCACATCTCAAAACTCACAGCAGCAAGGCAAATTTCAAACTGATGTTTGTTATTTTTTTACATAAAAGGAATTTTGGATAACATCACTTCAAAAAAATCCATGTGTCTCAAACCAAAATTCCAACACCTTCCCATTTAATACTAAGTACAAAGACAGGACATATAACAATCCACCCAATTAGTTCCTCTTTTTGTTCCCTACAAGAATGATTAATGATACCTATATTAACACAGGATCTAGCAGGATAGAAAAAAAGATTGTTCCATCTGTCTAAATTTCTGTTCAATTTTTGTCTGATTGCAGTAAAAGAAACTTGGTTAACAGCCAGCAATGAACAAATTAAAATATCTGGCTTTTAAGTCCTGGATCACCCTAGTGTGGGAAGTCAGCCCCCCCCCCAAAGAAGGCAATATTAAAGAGGCAGAAAAGCATGCCAGTTTTTCTTTATAGCTCCAAGTCTCCCTCCCCCAAGCAAAAACCAGCCCTATAGAAATGCAGGTGTAAATAATCCAGGAAGGTTGGAAGCCTCCAGCTAGAAGCTTAGGAAGACAAAAGACACCTAAAATCTACATACCCTACCCAAACTCTAAGACAGGACATAATAGGATTAACCCATAGATGCCAAACGGCACACTCAGACTCAGGTCAAAGTTCATGCCACAGGAACAACCCCAAACAAAAGGCTCCAGAAGATATAAAAACCCATTCTCTACATGTGCTCTCTCTCTTTTCTTCGAGAGTCATCTTTTTGTCTGGCTCTCTTCTTCAATAAACTGCAACCTTCTTTCTAAAGCAGTCGCCATGTTTATTCCCGGCTTGGACTGAACCATGTCGAAGACTTTTCCTTCAACACTAGCATGGAAAATAAAAGAGAAAGACAGGCCTCAGTGATTGTGATGTTAAATGTGTATATACTCACACATATTACTTCTCTGGCATATGGGTGAACTTAGAGCAAACCCTGATAAGAGCTAAATTCAAAAATTCCCCAGCATAGTTATAATTGTATTGGGAGATTTTAATGTGAGGTTGGAACCTTCTGTACCAGATCATATTAGTAATCTGAACATTTTCAACTTTCACTCCCTATTATCTTTATGGTCCTTTACGGACCAGAAAAGAAATTCTGACAGTATACAGGTGTTAAACTTGATATGCAAATATAACTTGCAAATTCTAGGGAACAAATATCTAAGTTTTGTATAACCTTTACTTACCATTCAGAGAAATCAAGTAGTACTTTAGACCATACATGTGTCTCTAACAGTTATGTGTCTTTTTTCTCAGACTTCCAGGTTTATGTAACAGATGATGGTGACCACTAACAGGCTGCTCTTAATTTTTGTGAGCATTCAGACCTCAGACTCTACACCACAATAGATAGATGGGTTTCACTTTATTTAAAGATTCACCAGAACAGAAGGATAAAATGAAGCGGAATAGATGTGATGTTTTGGCCGAATATATGAGATTTTATCAAACCCTGATTCTGGTAGTTACTTAACCTTGCACAGATGTCAGCTCTCTATTTACAACTTATGAAACCCTAAATGCAGTACTAAGAAAATTCTTAACTGAAAAAGCCCTGAAAAGGTGCTCATTGGTTTGATTCAGAGTGTAGTTCCCTGAGAAAACAATTAAGATTAGCTAAGTGTACAGCACAGAACTATCCATCCAATAATAATCATATTGCCATGTTACCACTCAGACAAGAGTACAAATTTATTTAACCATATAAATAATTCCTGCCAAATTCCACCTGATAGGGACCTCTCTGTTATGGGTCCCATTTACAAAAAGAATAGTAAAGGTGGTCCTTCAAATGATAGATCAGTGGTGGCGAACCTTTTAGAGACCGAGTGCCAAAACTGCAACCCAAAACCCACTTATGTATTGCTGGGTGCCGGGTGGGCATGGCCTGATGGGTGGGCATGGCCAGCTCGATGCTGTTCCTGGGGAGGGAGGCCTGTGGGTGCCAGGCAGGGTTGGGGGAGATCCAGGGGGGGTCTGGCGGGTGGGGCAGTGGAAGGAGGGTGTCTTGCTCAGCTGATGGCTTGGAGGGGAAGGGGGCAGCTACACCCCCTCCCAAACGCTGCTGTCTCATGAAAGCAGGATGAAAACTCCAAAAAGTGACAAAGAAAAGAAGTTAAAACAGAAGAGCGTCTCACGATGGTTTTCTTCCTTGGGGGGGTGGAGGGAGGCTCCTGAGCCCCGAAGCTCTTCCAAGGGAGGGAGGAGAGTGGGGAGGGTCTGTGCTGGGAACGGGGCTCCTCATGCCTTCCACTGCCTGCCTGCGCTGTTCTGCCGCAGATGCCACGGCTCCGCTTCCCTGGCAGCATGGGGGTGCACTCACGCTCGGGGATGCACGTGGAGCTGCTGCCTCGCCATGCCAGGAGCCTCCTCGCCACTTCTTCCCCTGCGGACATCGGGAGTGTCCACCCCATCTACCGCTCATCCTGGGGCAGCTGCCGCCATCCGGTCGCCAGCCAGCCTGTATGCCTCCCTTCGTGCTCCCTCGGCCTCTCCCCCACCTCCAGGCTGGGGCTGGTCAGATTCCCACCGTGGGGAGCACTGCGCCTGTCCCTGGCCAGCCCTCCTCCTCCATCCTCCTCCTCCTGTGGGCACACTGTGGCTTACCGAGCCAGGTATTGCCTCTCCCTGTATGTGTCCTCAGGCGGAGGAGCCGGGCAGCCATGGCTCTCGTTCCCCTCTGGCTTCCATCTGCCCAAGCTTGGCGCCCCTGGTGACGAGCTGGAGAGCGCGGGACGGCAGCAGCTGCCCCGGGACGAGGGTGGGCGCTCCCGATGTCCGCAGGTGAAGAAGCGGCGAGGAGGCTCCGTGCCCAGTCCAGCCCAGCCCCCGGAAAGCAAGGGAGCAGCCCACGTGTGTCCGGTCCAACCCTCACAGAGCACCCTTCTCCCACCGCCCCAACCCTCGCAGAGCGCCCTTCTCCCGCCACTCCGGCCCAACCTTTACAGAGCCCTGACCTGGTTCTTTACCTCCGCCCAGCTTGTTCTGCGGCCTCATGGTAGCAGCATTGGGCAGGAGGTGGCAAACGGCCGGTTTTGGCGTGACACAGCTGTTTGCCGCCTTGCGTATTACGCCCAATGCTGCTGCAATGCAGCTTGGCCAAAAGCAGCCATGAA